TGACCCCAACAAATAAGTATCTCTGTCTGCGATCCTCAAACGAATCTTGCAGGTCAATCACATACATCCACGGCCCAGCGGAAAGCATGCTGACTGCCTGTTCCATTGTGTCGTAATTGACGCCCACATCTGGGAGAAGATCGTTCACCCCACCCTTGCGTAAGTCCACGATTAAGCGGGCTTTCATCCTCTCGAACTCCGTCGCGTCAGGTGGCACGCACTCCCGTTCTTTCAGGATGAGTCCAAGCGGATTGACGTTGAGCGCGGCTGGCTTGGCATTCGCAGAAGGAAGAAATTATATCTTCCCCATTGACTCCAATCTATATACTTCTCGTTCTGCCCATTCTGGATTGTTCCGGGCAGAGGGGTGGTTGGGAAAGGCGCGGGCGACATGCCGGGAGGCCCCCAAAGACCGCCCATGACGCCACATTTCCAGGAACTCGGGTGCAGCTCCGCTTTGTTCGAGAAAATCGAACCGTAGTTTGAGTCTTGGCACGTTCTCCCAGTCCGTGAGGCTGTCATTGCCGAGCTGGATCTCCGCACGCAGAGCCTCCATCTTGAGCTGGCCGTGCTGCGGAACGACAACCACACATGACGATTATGAGTGCTACACTTGCTACTTCCTTTCCGTCCTGTGCCCCCGTGCAACGTTATTACACAGTGCACCCCTGCAAGCCCCAAAGAGAAGCGTTCCATCTCCTGTGGACTGCGGAGGGGGTGGCGGGAACAAAGGACCACCACCACACCGACTTACCAAGCGACCGACTCACGCCGACCCTGCACCTAAAACCCAGGAACCAAACCACTCGGTTGCAACGGGAGGACCCCCGCCTGCAACCAGGAGGGGCACGAACGGCCCCGAAGGAGGAGCCACGCCCAGGCCCCCAACAAAGCCAGCGGCAGCGCGGGGCCGGCAAGCGCCCCGACCTGGAGAGCCCGCAGGCGCCTGCGCCCTGCAAAGGCGCCCTTCAGAGGCGCCCCAACAGGGCAACCGCCACCCACGAAGCCCCCTTCACGAATGCAAGCCTCCTTCGAAGGGGAGCGCTCCTTCTCCCCCTCCTCCTCCTCCTCCTCCTCCTCCTCCTCCTCCTCCTCCTCCTCCTCCTCCTCCTCCTCCTCCTCCTCCCCCCCTCCCTCCTCCCTCCTCCCTCCTCCCTCCTCCCTCCTCCCTCCTCCCTCCTCCTCCCTCCTCCCTCCTCCCCTCTCCTCCCTCCTCCTCTTCTCCTCCTCCTCCTCCTCCTCCTCCTCCTCCTCCTCCTCCTTTCCTCCTCCTCCTCCTCCTCCTCCTCCTCCTCCTCCTCCTCTTTGGGTCGCCTACAGCCCCAGGGGAAACCGTGCAGACGCGGCTTCTCGGAAGGCGCGAGGGGTATTGAGAAGCCCGACCGACCACCTTCTGAGAAGGCCCGCCCCCTCTCCTCATGGCGCCAACATCGCAGAGCGGGTTTCTTTCAGAAAACAATGGGATGGGCCTGGATTGTCTGGAGAATTTCGTTCCAGATTTCGAAGTGAATTCCGTGCGCAATTATCTTTGGCCAGGAATGAAGATTGCAAACAATCCATGTAAAATTCACGTCGTTTTTAGCTCGCCGTTGCTGGGCTGTACATGGGCAGAAATGCACGCCCAAATCCGCTGCAGCACGTCTGCAAGGTCGGCGCAGCAACCTCTCCTGATTGACACTGCAAGGACCCCTAACCCTTGGGGAGGGGACCTAAGTCAGGAGGGCCAAAAACATTAGGTACAGGGGGTCCTTTTCTGCAGACGTCACGAACCAAACCGCCCAGATTTCTGATCCCTGATACAAAGATAGGGCCTCAGTGAGGCCACGCCTTCGCTGTGTCATTAGGATCAGGGGTCCTTTTCTTCGCGAGGATCTCCTTTCCCCCCCGGGCTCGCCGCCGGTTTTCGGAGATCGGTGTTGCACGTTCTCGTTCCAGCGCCAGCCGTGCAGAGAGATGGGAGAGATCGGAGGAGCCCAGAACGGTTTGGGCCTCCCAAAGGGTGGGTCCGACCTTCGTTGGCGTGCCCGTCCTAGATTTTAACGGTCCTCCTCTTCTCCTCCTCCTCCTCCTCCTCCTCCTCCTCCTCCTCCTCCTCCTCCTCCTCCTCCTCCTCCTCCTTCCCCCTTCCTCCTCCTCCTCCTCCTCCTCCTCCTCCCTCCTCCTCCTCTCCTCCCCTCCTCCTCCTCCTCCTCCTCCTCCTCCTCCTCCTCCCTCCACTTCCTCCTCCTCCTCCTCCTCCTCCTCCGCCTCCTCCCCCCGGTCGCGTCAAATTTCGGACTGGGTCTTGTCATTTTTCTGGCGGCCCTGTCAGACCAAGTCGGGTCCTCCAAACTCGAGCCGCACGTCTCCCCGATGGATGAGGTCGGGGGATGGCGCCGCATCGCCGGTTCATCGGCGATGCGGCTCGACGTGGAGCCAGAGTTTCTCCACGCCAACGTCGTCGATGCATCGCCGATGCGTCGGCGATGCGGCGCGATCCTCCGACCCCATCTACTCGGACCCACTTTGCAAGGCCGCTAAACGAAGGAGGAGGTGAGCGTCGCAGAAAGACGGGTTCGACTGCGCCGACATTTACGCGTAAGCTGCCTGCTTAAGATGGCGCGCACGCGCCCTCGTCTCTAATGCAGCCTTCCTTCGCTGGCGGTCCGCCTGAGCCGCCGCGTAAGGTCGCTATGGCAACTTGCGTAAGGCCAGTTTGCTTTCGTAGCGCATGTGGAGGCGGAGGAGGCGGATAATGAGGGAATGAGGCCTGGAGGAGCGGTGGAAGAGGCTTCCCTGACTCAGGATCCGCCGTACTTGAGATGATTATTTGATCTGAATTGGTGTCGGAAGTGTATCCCGCGGGAATCAAAACAGTAGGGCGACAATTTCCGCCTCGGAAACATCGGGAGGAAATTTCTGCACTACTTTTGTGGAACTTTCTGCAACTTTGTGGAACATCTCCACAAAGCTGTCCACGAGGTACGGCGGACATCCAAAAAAGGTACCGCGGAAAGAGCGACGGGAAAGTATGGCAGAAATCAAAGGAGCTTGCAAATCAGGGCGAAAATGTCCGCCCTATTCGCGAAATCAGCTGACCTTCGGTCAGATCTACCAAGGGTGCCCTCGAGGGCGCGAAATTGTTCGCGCTTCGCGCTTCGGCTCCGATCGCAGAGCTGTCCGGGCTCTGCGCTGCGCGCAGCGCGCAGTTCGGCGCCCTCGTCTGGCCACCGCCGCCCCTTGCGGATTCCCGCTGAGCGTGCGCCGGCGCACCGGCCCCCCCTTAGGAGGACGCCAGCTGGATCTTTCTCCTCCCCCTCCTCCCCCTCCTCCTCCTCCTCCTCCTCCTCCTCCTCCTCCTCCTCCTCCTCCTCCTCCTCCTCCTCCTCCTCCTCCTCCTCCTCCTCCTCCTCCCCTGGACGTGAACCTCTGGTGCCGACTTCGCGCACGGGCGACCGCGTCAGGGCGGCCGCTGGCGGGGGTTCGCGACGGGCCCGCGCAGCGCGGGCGCGCCTCACAACGGGGGCGCTCCGCACGCGGCACGGAGGCCTGCCGGTTCGGTGCATGCGCCCTCTTGGCCGAGGAAGCAAGGCATGCACACCGATCTTGGGCCCAGGACGGGCCTGGCCAAGAAAGATCGCTGCAGCCGTGTGTTGTGCGTGCAAAATCAGAGCCTTAATTTAGTCATCAACCTCGCCTTTTTCTTGGTGTGATCAACCGGAGAACTTCGTTTCTCTCCGCTTCTGCTCCTCGGTGCGCCGCTCGCGCTCCCCTCTGGCTCTTATACTTCGCCCCTCTTCTGTATCTTTAGCCGCTCCTTGCTCCAATTGTCCGTCATTCGCTTGGCCCCGGAGGTGGCCCTCGAGGCTTTGGCATCGGACCTCCCCTCTCTTCTTCGCCCCCCCCTGCGCGACTGTCCAGACCGTTGCGCCTCCCGCGAAAAATTCGCGAGAGTCCGGGCCCCCCGCGAAAAATTCGCAAAGTCCCGCGAAAGATTCGCGTGAATCCTTCGCGCCGTGCACTGTCCTCTGAGGCGCCCCCCGGGCTACCTCGCCCCCGTGAAACCCACCTGGGCGATTGGCGAGGGCTGTTCCCGCGCGAGACCACCCCGGGCGACCTGTGCAGGAACTTTGCTGCGGAGACCCCCCTGGGCGACTCCACCGCCCGGACCGACCCCCCCCCTGGCGAGTCGGCCCGTCCTGGACCCCCCTGGGCGATCCAGGACCCCCCGCACCCTCCCAGGCGAGCGGGGGCGCCTACGGGAAAAGCCGCCGCCTAAGCTTCCCCTTTTGAGGGAACTTTGGCGGGGGCGATCCGCGCCGGGGCGGCAGTCGAACCCCCCCGGCCAATCGACCGCCGCAGATCCCTCCCACATAAAACACAAAAACATAAGAAACACAAAAAGACACAAAACAACACAACACAACACAACACGCAACAAAAAACAAACGAGCACCTGGCGGAACATAAACACACACACACACACCAAAACACACACACACACACACACACACACGCACACGAAAATAATTAAATTATGGCTCTGACTTTGAACACCTAACGTGTGGCGTGCAGTTGTCGGCGGCGACCCAGGTGGGGGCGGGAAGGGAGAGGGGCAGGCCTTCTCAGAAGGTGGCGGGGCTTCTAAGACGGAGGTGTTATTTGTGTCTTCGAGGAAAGCTTAGACAACTTCTCACAAGGTCCGAGGCCTTCCAAGCCTTCTGACAGGGCCTGCCCCTTCCCACGTCCCCCCGAGTTCGCCGCCGACCAGAGCTCTTGGCAGGACGAGACTGCTGTCATGATGCGACTGGCTCAGGATGCAATCCAGGAATTCGGGAGTATCTTGCGGACCTCGTCCCTGCAGCCCGGGTGGCACGTCAAGGAATTGGGGAAAAATCTTGGAAGGCTTGGACCGTATCACAATCATTACTTCGAGCTCATCTGACTGGGGACCCCTTCTCGCTTCCCTCCCGGCTCGCCGAGGAAACAGTTGGGCCCCCCCCCCCGCCCCCCGGCCAGAGGCTACATCCTGCCGACGGAGGGGCAGGACGCCTGGCAGATGCGCCGGGTGCTGCGCAGGCCAGGGGGTGGCCTTGGCCTTCTCCTGTTGCGACGACGACGACGACGACGACGACGACGACGACGACGACGACGACGACGACGACGACGGCGGCGGCGGCGGCGGCGGCGGCGGCGGCGGCGGCTTCGGCGGCGGCGGCACGGAGGATGCGGAGGCGAGGCAGGGGGTCGCCACCCGCCAAACCACCCCGACCCAACCAGAAGGTCCCCACTTGCCCTCCATTCCCAGTGGAGGGGGGGGGGGGCGTTGGGGAACATTGACAAAGCGCATGTGGACACCGTGCCCCCCTCCCCGAAATTTGGGTCTTCGGGTTGGCTTGGGGTGGTCCAGGTTGTCAGGAGGGGGAGGAGATCATCGAAGAAGGAAAAACGTAATAAGCATGAACTTCCGACGGTCCGCGCGGATTTCTTTTGCGGCCATCTTGGGCCCTCTTGGGGGAATCTTGGCCGTCTAAGCCGTCTTCGCCTATAATGCCATTTTGGAGGATGAGGCCAAGTGAGAACGAAAGTGGCCGGCGGGTTGGGCCGAAGGCCCTTCGGCCCAAGGGCCTTCGGCCCAACCCAGCCCTTCGTGCTAGACGTACACCTTTGTGGCAAACACAGGGAACGGCGGATCGAAGACGCATACAGCGAATCACCATCGCCAGCCCGATGACCTTTGTCACGGCCACCACCGCGACCACTGCAACGACCACGACGGCCACCACCACTACCACCGCGACCGCGGCGACCGCGACGCCTCCCGCCACTGTCACTACCAGCGCGCCCGCCAACCACCACGACCACTGCGACGACTGCCACCACCACGACTGCCGCCTGCCCACCGCCCGCGCCCCCGGTCACCCCCCCCCACCCCCTCCCCCTCTCTTCCCCCTGCTTCACCGAACGCGTTCCGCTATTCGCAAAGTGCCGAAACGCAGAGCGTCCGAAAAGCCGAAGAAGCAGGCGTCTTCCTCCTTAAGTCATGGATCGCGAGTCCCCCGCGTCGAATCCAGGCCATCTGCGAGCAGGCGTTTTTGCCAGTAGTGGACCGCGCTTGTGTACTGCTGGGCCGTCCCTGCCACGGCGCGCGCCGCGCGTCTCGTCCCCCTCCTCTTCCTCCTCCTCCTCCTCCTCCTCCTCCTCCTCCTCCTCCTCCCCCTCCTCCTCCTCCTCCTCCTCCTCCTCCTCCTCCTCCTCCTCCTCCTCCTCCTCCTCCTCCTCCGCCCCCCGCCCCCCTCCCGCGGCGGGAGCCCGACGGCGCAGCGCGGCCGGGCTGCTGGGCAGGCGCGGCGTGGTGTGTGCGCTTGCCGTGGGCCGGACAGTGTCACCGATCGCTGCTGCTTGCCGGCCCGCCTGCGCCCCGTCTTCCCGGGCGGGGGGAGAGAACGCCATCAGCAGCATAAGCTTTTGGCGCTCCGCGCGGATGTCTTGGATCCGCGTTGGGGCCCCCTGGCGGCGCTTCTGGCGCCGCCCCGCGCGCCAGGGAGGGGTGCCCAGCGAAGATCCAAGAAATCCGCGCGGAGCGCCAAAAGCTTATGTCTATATGCCGTTCTTGACTCTTCTAAGAGACCGAGAGAGAGAGAGAGAGAGAGAGAGTGAGAAAGAGAGCGAGAGAGAGAGAGAGACGAGAGAGAAAGAGAGAGAGAGAGAGAGAGCGAGAGAACAACAAACCAAACAAAGAAAACGACTCCTTCTCCCGCACGAGGCGGGTATTTCGACGAACGCTCCACAGAACGCGTTGCGAGGGCAATCTGCTTCGCTAGCCGCGACCCCCAGATCATAAATCATAGCCCCCCCCCGCCTTTCCCCTGGATAGTTGATTATCCCCGGCCACTGCGGCTTTGGTCGGGGGAGAGGGGCGGCAAGGCCGAACTTTGTTATCGCGGGGGTAGGTTGCGAATCGAAGCTGCTCCCAGTGAGCCGCGAGGTCGCGCCTGCCCTCCGCCCCTGCTGGACCTCTCGGGAGCCCGCAAGTGGGCAGCACGAGGAGTCGCGAGGTCGCGCCTGTCCACCGTCTCCGCTGGACCTCCCAGCAGGAGCCCACGCAAAGCGACGACGGCTGCGCAGTTCGCAGCCCTCCAGTAGGAGAGATGCGAGCAAGGAAAGCAAAGGAGGCGAGAGCGAGCAGGAGGAGGAGGAGGCAGGAGGAGGAGGAGGAGGAGGCAGGAGGCAGGAGGAGGGGGGAGGAGGGGGAAAAGGCACAGGGTGGAGACCACAGTACTTGATTCAAAACGAGAGCCCAGCGCACAGGACGGGTTGGGAGAATAGAGAGAGAGAGAGAAAAACAAAAACATAGAGAAAGAGAGAGAAAGACATCAGTGAGTGAGAGAGAGAGAGAGCCAGAGAAATAGAGAGAGAGGACATAGGGACATTAGGGAGACACGACAGAGAGAGAGAGAGACCAAGAGAGAGCGAAAGAGAGAGAGAGAGAGAGCGAGAGAGATAGACAGAGCCAGAGGCAGAGGCAGAGAGAAAGAAAGAGAGAGAGAGAGAGAGAAAATGGGAAAGAGAGAGAGAGAGAGTGAGAGAGAGAGTGAGAGAGCGAGAGAGCGAGAGAGCGAGAAAGCGAGAGAGCGAGAGAGCGAGAGAGAGAGAGAGAGAAAGCGATGCATATATATATATGTATAGAGGGAGAGAGAGAGAGAGAGAGAGAAAAAGAAAGAGTGGGAGAGAGGGAGAGTGAGAGAGGAGGAGGAACAGGAGGAGGAGGGGGAGGAGCAGCAGAGGTAGCAGCAGGAGCTGGGAGCAGCACCAGCAGAGGCCGGGTGGAGCAGGAACGTGTCGAGTGTGGGAGCGCGCAGGGACATCTTGTGGCACGGCAGCCGCCAGCTCTACGCGGGGCAGTGGGTGATGTTCGAGACGGCCAGGGCACACGAGGCATGCCGTGGCAGGGGCGCCAAAAGTTCAGGAGCGACAGAAGGGCGTTCACGTACATGCATTCGCGCTGTTTTCGGAAGTACGCATTGCGCGAACGTCCGCAACACGATGTTGGTCTCGCGGACTGGGGGCCGTATTCATGTACCTGGTTGGGCGCGTACGTCCTTTGTGGGCTCCCTGAGATACAGAAGATGCCCTGTGGTCGGTTGACCATACCCAGGGCTTCCAGACTCAGCCGCAAAAGCCAAGGCCGGCAAGCTGGTTTCACGATTCTGCCAGTTTCGTTTGGCGTGTGCAGGGTTTCCTCTGGCCGTTCCTGAGCCCCCTGGCCCGCAGGATGGGCCTAGAGCTTCGCCACGCACCCCTCCCCCTCCTCCTCCTCTTCCTCCTCCTCCTCCTCCTCCTCCTCTTCCTTCTCCTCCTCCTCTGCCTCATCCTCCTTCTTCTCCTCCTCCTCCTCCTCCTCATTCTCCTCCTCCTCGAGACTGCCACGTACCCCTCCTCCTCCTCCTCCTCCTCCTCCTCCTCCTCCTCCTCCTCCTCCTCATCTGCCCCCCCCACATGGCGCGTGCAGCGGCGTTGTGGGGGCGCCCAGCGGGGGCAGCGCAGGTGCTTTGCCCGACAGGGGTCGGGTATAGCCAGGTCCCCAGGTGAGGGGACCCGGTTAGCATTAAATCGGGCCTGTCCCTCTACAGGAGAAAATTCCTAAATAGTCAAAAAATAGTCGGGAGGACGATTTCTTGACTGTTTTTGAACATTTGGGGGGTATTTTCTGAGTATTTTTAATGTTTCGCCCAAAATCCCCCTGTAGGGGGACACGCCCGACTTGAGGTTAGCAGTAGGGCCCTGGAGCCCCTAAATTGGCCAGAACCATTAAACCAGGTCTGCCGTGGCTGGTGTTCCTTCGGGTGACGGCAGTTCCGGTTAGTGAAACGGGGCGGGGGGGAGGCTTCCCCCTGTACACATCACTAGACCAGGTCCTACTAAACCCAGATCTGCCAACGCCTGAAATGGGGCCGCCACTAAACAAAACGAGTTCGTTGTCATTGCTCGGTGATGCTTAGCAGCCAGTTTGGCATTCCCCGGCTTGTCAAGAGCACTCGACTGTAAGCGAGTACCAGCGCCGCCGCAAGTCGGGGAACAAGCAATGACAGAAACATCAAAACGGATCGGCGCTTGGGCCCCCAGGCGGCGCTTCCGGCGCCGCCCCTGGCGCACTCCGCGCGCCAGGGAGGGGGGTCCAGCGCCGATCCGAGAAATCCGTGGGGACCTCCGAGTTGTTATGTTGATGTCGTTGTTCGTCCCCCCAGCAAGCTGATTATGATTCTGAATCTCCTCCTCCTCCCTCCTCCCTTCTCCTCCTTCTCCTCCCTCCTCCTTCTCCTCCTCCTCCTCCTCCTCCTCCTCCTCCTCCTCCTCCTGGTGCGCCGTGCCCCCTCTCGTCGGCGACCCGCGAATGGGGTCGCCGACGAGGGTGGGGGATGGGAAAGGAGGGTGCGAGGTCTGCTGCATGCAGCCGGCCCCAGCAGGAGGAGGAGGAGGAGGAGGAGAGGAGGAGAGAAAGAGGGAAGGGGAGGAGGAGGAGGAGGAGGAGGAGGAGGAGGAGGAGGGAAGGAAGGGGACGGGAGGGGAGGGGAGGGCCAGGCAAAGGCAGGGGGAGGAGGAGGAGGAGGAGGAGGAGGAGGAGGAGGAGGAGGAGGAGGAGGAGGAGGAGGAGGAGGACCAGTGCAAAGCCAAGAGTCATCAACGATGCTGGAGTAGACCCTCCCTCGAAGCTACCTCTTCACAGGCCCCATACAGCGGTTCATTTCCACCGAGGGAACTTCCTCGTTGGATGGCACCAGTTTGAAGACCCTGAAGCACACCAGCACATTGTTAATTTGTTTCAGGATTCCAACGCCAAGGAACAACCTGTTTTTTCTGTCTTGACGATCCTGCATCGCGCCAGAACGCCATTCTTGGAACTTCAGCATTGTGAATCAATGTAGCTGTTGCACCCTCATAATACTGAACCCTTCCAAAACACAATGTCTGGTACGTTAATCATGGGAAGCCGTGGAACTCTTCGAATTGAAGAAAACGAATTTGCGTTGCTAAGAAGAGGGCCACATTTTGAAAAGGAGCCTTCCTCAATCCGTGAATCTCTTGCAATTGTTGAAACGAAAGCACGCGGCGCTAAGGCGAAAGCCACATGTTGAAAACGGCCCGCCCTCAATCCGTGAAAGTTTTTTGCAAATTGTCAAAACGAATGTGCGCGGCGCTCAGGCGAGAGCCATGTTTTGAATACGGCCCGCCCTCAATCAGTGAAACTCTTGCGCATGTTTAAAGAGACTGCGCGCGGCGCTAAGGCGAGAGTCACATTTTGAAAACGGCCTGCCCTCCATCTGCGAAAATGTTGTCAACGTTCAAGCTTCAGGGTCATAAATGGTGAGGAAATCTCAGGCGAAATCCCCGGCCCGCCCTAAAAGCTGGCTTCGGGTTGCGACAGGGAGAAGTTTTTTGGAAGGAGGAGGAGGAGGAGGAGGAGGTTCCCCCCCTCCCCTCTCTCACCCCCCGCCGTATGTTGGCTGATTTTGCAACTTAGCCCCAACCGATGCGAACAGGTGGGGCGAACATGTCCGTCTCAGGAGAGAGCGGGGCGGATCTTCTCACAGAAAGGAGAAGCGGAAACAGCGACGGCTGAGCAAGGCGGAGATCGACGTCGAAGGAGCCTGACAGGTACGGCGGACATGCCCGCCCTACGCACGAGATCGCCCAGAAAGTGGGGCGGATCCGGAGCCAGGTGCATGCTGCAAGCGGCTGGCGTCGGCCCGCCCGTTGGGCGCGCCCTCCTCGAGCTGCGGGCGCCTCCGGCGCCAGGAGGCCCCGGGAAGGCCAGCTGCGCCAGCTGCGCGGGATGACGATGATGCTGATAATGATGATGATGATGATGATGATGATGGTGGTGGTGGTGATGATGATGCTGATCATGCTGATCATGCTGCTGATGACGATGATGATGATGATGGTGATGGTGATGGTGATGGTGATGGTGATGGTGATGGTGATGGTGATGGTGATGATGATGATGTTGATGATGATGATGATGAGATGATGATGATGAGGAAGAGGAGGCGGAAGATGAGGAGGAGGATGAGGATGAGGATGATGTTGATGAGGATGCTGCTGCTGATGATGATGGTGGTGATGAGGATGGTGGTGATGGTGATGATGACGATGACGATGACGATGACGATGATGGTGGTGGTGGTGGAAGTAAGGATGGTGGTGGTGGTGATGGTGGTATGATGATGTTGATGGTGATAACAATGATGCTGCTGATGATGATGCCGATGATGATGCTGACGAAGATGACGATGACGATGATGCTGATAATGATGATGATGATGATGGTGGTGGTGGTGATGATGATGCTGATCATGCTGATCATGCTGCTGATGATGATGATGATGATGATGATGATGATGCTAATGATGATGATGATGATGATGATGATGATGATGATGATCATGATGAGGATGAGGATGAGGATGATGATGATGATGATGATAGTGATAGTGATGATGATGATGATGATGATGATGATGATGATGATGATGATGATGATGATGATGATGACGATGATGATGATGATGATGATGATGATGATGATGATGATGATGATGATGATGATGATGATGATGATGATGATGATGATGATGATGATGATGATGATGATGTGATGATGATGATGATGATCGATGATGATGATGATGATGATGATGATGATGATGATGATGATGATGCGATGATGAGGATGATGATGCTGATGATGCTGATGATGAGGATGATGAGGATGAGGATGAGGAGGAGGAGGAGGAGGAGGATGATGATAATGATAATGGTGGTGGTGGTCGCGGTGGTGGTGTTGTTGTTGTTGTTGTTGGTGGTGGTGAGGAGGAGGAGGAGGAGGAGGAGGAGGAGGAGGAGGAAGAGGGGGGAGGAGGAGGATGAGGAGGAGGAGGAGGAGGAGGAGGAGGAGGAGGAGGAGGACGAGGACGAGGGTAGTAGCGCGAGAAGGACCCAGAATATTAGGATGAGAAGGAAGAGAAGTTGGAGGAGGGAGGGGAGGAGGATGAGGAACACATGTGAGGGGAGGGGAGGGAGAGAGGGAGGGTGGAAGGGAGGAAGGGAGGATGATTCGGAGTAGGAGTGTGGGTGGGCGCAGATGCTGGAGGAGCGGCAACGCCGCCTGCGTCCCGACGAGGTCCCTATCGAACCGAACGACGAGCCCGAGGCCGCCTTCGCGCTGCAGGTCAAGGGCCCGGAGGCGCCCTGCTGGACGGAGGAAGGGGCGGGGGCATCCAAGAGGAAGGCGAGGACCAGGGGGTCATGGGGGGGAGTGTGGACGTCTTCTGTGGTCCAAGACACATGGCGAACACCATGGACATCTCTCCTCCCCCTCACCCTCGCGCCCCCTCTTCCTCCCACCCTCCGCGACGGGGAAGGGCCCGAGTCCGCCACTCAGCCGGCAACGAGGCCTGCCGCAGCCAGAGATCCCAAACCGCCGCATCGGGCTTATTCCTGCCACTCCCCCTGCCCCTCGTGCTCTCCTCGCGTGCTCGGCGCCCTCGTGTCCCCCCCTCTCTCCTGGCCGTTGCTGCCTTCGTCTCGCCTCCTGCTCGGCTCCCTCGCTCCGCCTCCTGCCCCCCCTCCCTCTCCTCCTCCGGGTCGGGTCGCGAGCCGCAGGGAGCGAGGCACGAGCGGCTCCGCACCCAGACTTGCCGTGCGGCGCGGCCGAGAAGCGAGGGCCGTCGGAGGCGGGCCGAGCCGCGTGGCTTGCGGCACCTGGCATCTCCGTCACGCACGTCCCCCCGCGGCATCGAGTACGAGCGCTTCTCCGCGGCGTGGCGGCGCCCTCGGCCCCCCCCCCCCCCGCGGGCCGCACTGCGCGCGCCGCTGAACATCGAAATCGGGGGGGGCGAGGGGGTTGGGTAAGCCCTTGCGTTTATTCTCGCGGAGGGATGTGATCGTTTTCTGATTCATTGTTTCGCCGATCTGCGCGGGTCTTCGCACCCCCCCCCCGGGAGTAGATCTCGGTTGTTTTTGGCGCTTGTTTCGAGCTGGTGGCGCCTCCCCCATAGGACGCATTTGTGCAAACAGTCGCACTAAGCAGCGGTCCAGAGCCAGACCCCCCCCCACCCCCCACTGTAAAGGATGCTGGACATCCGCAAGGACGCAGTGCTACCTCTGCTCACGCGGAGGTCCCCTGCATGAGTCCTACCTCTCTGCGCTACTACACTCCTGAAGTCTACCCTCCGACTCCAATTGGAAATTTCTTCGAAGACACGATGCATGACAACATGCGATACGATACTGTGCCGCCTCCACGCCACGCAGGCTAACGACGACTTCGCATCATGAACCACAGCCGCAAACAGCCGACCACGACCTACGAGGCCATTGGATCGGTATTACCATAGTTGGCCTTCTATGGGTCGCTCTCGGATGTGCTGTTGGACACAGGCAGCGTGGCGGAGACGACACACGTAGTACCAGCCCCCACTGGGACCCTGCCGGTAAGGTACTTTTACGCGAGCTTGTTCGCGAGGTACACGCATGGATCAATGTGACCACATGCACAATGACCCCCTCCCAACAGGCTGCGGCACTACAGCGTGGTCTGGGAGGGTTCGCAAGGACCATAGCCATGAGAGTACCGGGCGGCCACTGAGGGCGCAGGCGGACAACAGTTCTTACCTAGTACAACTAGGCTTGGGCACAAAAACTAAAATTTTCAACAAATAGTCCGAGGACGATGTTTTTTATTTATTGCTATTTTCCGGCAAGCCATGTTTTTCGTTCAAAACCTGCCAGTAAGGGGGCACGCCCGACCTAACATTAATCAGGCGATCGCATACATGGATCAAGAGGGCGTGGATTGGCGACGGGTCCCGTTTCCATGGGAAACCGCGGATTTCCGCGCCGCCGAAGGAGGCGGCGCCAGCCGCATTCTGGGGAGGGTACCCCCCCCGATCCATGGATTTGGCGACCGCCCGCCAGATCCGTGGATCGCTGATCCGTGCTTGCGCGCCGCCGAGGTGATCTCGCGGAGGGATGTGCAGTGCAGCCGCCGAGAGCAGGACCCCCTCGGGCTCCTCGAGCGGGGCTCCGGTGGCCGGGCCGCTCCTTCGGTCCACAGGTCGGGAAGCTTCCGTGGCCTTAGGTCGGGCGAGTCCCCCTGCAGGCGGGTTTCGGACGAAGAATTTCGAATACCCCAGCAATATTTTAAGAATATTCAGAAATCGTCCAAATATCGTCCTCTGACTATTTGTTCCTATTTTTGAATATTCCTCCTGTAGAGGGACAGGCCCGATTTAACCGTGGCCGAGGCTCGCCGCAGCCAGAAACGCCCGCTCCCTATGTTTCAGTCGGGCCTGTCCCTCCGCAGGAGGAATATTCAAAAGTAGTCAAAACATAGTCTGGGGACTTATTTTTGGTTGTTGGTACTATTGGGCATTTGTTTGAGTAATTTTGGGGTATCTTTAATAGTTCGTCCAAAATCCGCCTGTAGGAGGACACGCCCGACCTAGCCTTATCTGGCGCTTCCTATGGGACGGTCGGGCCGGGGTATAAGATCGAGGGCGGTTCGGGGAGGGTACCCCATTGTTCTTCGCGTCTGTTGGATGCTCTTGTGCACCCTGGGGAGGGTACCCTTGGATGCTCTGCCTGTTTTGGCCGGCGGAGGGTCTCACTTTCGTGAGGGATGCTCCTCGGGCCTACGAGCCCCGTCAAACATGTCCAGAGATGGAAGCTGAAATCCTGCGTCCGAGTTCGAGACAACGCCGCGCCCGAGTCAACAGACATCCGTCAGCGTCGAAGTAGCGCTGACTCCACAATCACCGAATCCAGAAGTCTTCTGTTTATTTTTGACGAGGCTTGCAGGTCCGATTGCTAGCGCGATGACCTCAGAATCCTCCTGACCCTCGCCTCTCGCCGCCAGGTGCGCTTCTCATTCAAGGCGAGCTACCCGCACGTGGCGCCCAGCAGCCGCACGTTCGAGGAGTAGCGGCCAGACGTCGCCGCCATCGACCGACCGACCGACCGACCGAGCGAGTCGTCGCCGTGGTGGTCGTCGTCGTCGTCGTCGTCGTCGTCGGTGGATTTATTCGAGTTTCCAGCACATAACTATGCACACCTAGCCTCAGAACTCAGCTCCTTTTGGATCCGCCTTTGTTTCCTTCAACATAAAGCTCACCGAGACGGTCAGGACCTTAGCGTCGCTTCTCTGGGACCGTGTCGATCAAGTCGGTCACGTCAAGACAAGATAAGTCAAATCAAGTCAAGACAAGACAAATCAAGTCGTCATCTTCGTCGTCGTCGTCGTCGTCACCAGAGTCACCCCCAGGACATGCGCCCCAGACGATGGGAACGATCAATTCGGGCGGAGCCGCAGTCATCGTTGCGAAATCGCCCACAAAGAGGGGCGGATCCGCAGTCAGGGCTGAGTTGCCCAGACCCCCGACGTCGTGACGTTTTCGCAGCGTGGTCCCCTTGGAGGTCTGTACCCCTTCCCCGGGACCAACTGTTCATCCCGTTGTTCGAGGGCTTTGGGGCCCGCAGAAACCGAAAAGGTCCAAAGTCACTTCGCGCCGCGATTTTCTGGCGACGTGAGGGGGTCTGGGTGGAGGGTTCCTCCGAAGGGCTTAGGCGACCCGTCCTCCTCCCCTCTCCTCCTCTCTCCTCCCCCTCCTCCCTCCTCCTCCTCCCCCTCCTCCTCCTCCCCCTCCTCCTCCTCCTCCTCCTCCTCCTCCTCCTCCTCCTCCCTCCTCCTAGCCTCCTCCTCCATCTCCTCCTCGCCCTCCTCCTCCTCCTCCTCCTCCTCCTCCTCCTCCTCCTCCTCCTCCTCCTCCTCCTCGGGTCGCCTACGGCCCCGGGGAAAACCGTGCAGGTCTGGGTACTCCCGATCTTGTAGTAGAAGGGCGGGGGCAACAGCCCTCCCAGACGAGCAGTTCTGAACCCCCCCGGAACATCCATGCAAGGGCGGCCTTCTGCCCAGACCCCCCCGAACCCTTCAGGACAGCTCAAATCAGAACCACTCCCGAATCGGGCCACCCCCCTTCTCTTGTGCTCTTGTGAGAACCGGTGTGTCCCGATCGCGGGCTCGTCGTGAGCCATGAGACGGGGGTCAATCCAAACGGGGGTCAGCCAGAGCGCTCGATCCTGCGGGATCCTGCAGAGCCAGGTGTGCATTGACCCAGGCTTATCCGCAGGATCCTGTGGGATCCTGCAAGGCCTGACAGACCCCGGTTTGCATCGAGTCCCAGAGCTCGAGGAGCAGCCGGACGTCGTCTCTGGCCCCACCCTGGAGCCGAGCCGGCAGTTGCTCGGCAGCGCCGCGGAGCCGGGCGCGCTCGCGGAGGCCACCCGGGCGGAGCTGCCGTTCCGGATGCCCGCCGAGTCTGGGCTGAAGCAGCCCCTGGCGTTGTCGCAGGCGGCCCGGCATGGCTTTCGCTGGATATTTCACTGCCCACGAAACCACCTCATCCCCAACCCGACGCCGAAGGTCCCACTTTGCTTTGCCCTCCATTTCCCAGTGGAGGGGGGGGGTGCGTCGGGGGACACTGGAAGGTCACATGTGGAAAACAGACGCCCCCCCAACCCGAAATTTGGGTCTTCGGGTTGGGTTGGGGCGGTTTAACAAGGTAGTCAGGATTAGAGCGACGGCATCGTCGTGGTGGTGGTGGTGGTCGTCGTCGTCGTCGTCGTCGTGGTCGTGGTCGTGGTGGTGGTGGTGGTGGTGGTGGTGGTGGTGGTGGTGGTGGTGGTCGTTGGTTTCGTCGCAGGCGGTCCGGCAGGGCATCGCCTGGGGGTCCTCGTTGGGCCCAGGGACCGTCAAAAAGCGGTCCGGGCCGAAACGCTGTTCCGGGACGAAGCTCGGCGGCCCCCAAACGGGGTGGTGAAAACACCGTGTGGTGAGTCGGTGGGGATTCGGGGTCACCGCACGGTTTTGGGACTCGGGGACGTCTCGGGCGACTGGGGTATCCGAGGTCCAAAAACCGTGCGTTGACGCAACGTGCGGTGAGGTCTTGGGGGATTTCGAGGTCACCGCACGGTCTGTCACCGCACTGTTTCGGGACTCCAAAGAAACGCCGGTCGCCGAAAAAATGAAGACGGATGGTTTTTCAGCGTTTTCGGTTTTTGATGGCCCTCGCCGGGCCCCCGGGGCCGTCAAAAAACGGTCAAACGCCGGTCGCCGAAAAAATGGAGACGGATGGTTTTTCATCGTTTTCGGTTTCTGAGGGCCCTCGCCGGGCCCCCGGGGGCCGTCAAAAAACGGTCCGGGGCGAAGAGCTGGTCGTGGTCCTTGCCCAGAACTCCTGGGGCACCACGTGCAAAGAGTCTCAACTTAAGAGATTGGAGGTTTGGGTCCCTGGCGGGCGGAGGCGGCTCCGAATCTGAGCCTCGCGGGCCTGGGCCCAAAGGGCAGCCGCGCGAGAGCGCGAGGGCTCGCCCCGAGTCGAGGCAGGAGCAGCCGCCCAGGCCCCGGCATGTGGCGCTTTGCGAGGCGGCATTCGGAGCGTTTACGGAGCAGCCTCTGCAGGGGGAAAATAATCAAGAATAGTCAAAAAGTAGTCTGGGGACGGTTGTTTGACTATGTTTGACTTTGTTTGGAGTATTATATTTGACGATTTTTAAGTGTTCGTCCAAAAATCCGCCTGTAGGGGGACAGGCCCGACCTAAGAGCAGCCCTGCCCTGCTCGATTCTTTCCTCGGGTGCGTTTCCGAAGCGGCTTCGCTTGTCGAGGTGGTTCTGCCGAAGAAACAGCGACATAAACATAGACTTTTGATGGTCCCCGCGGATTTCTAGGATCTACGCCGGATCCCCCTCCCTGGCGCGCGGAGCGCGCCAGGGGCGGCGCCGGAGGCGCCGCCATGGGGGCCCAGCGCAGATCCAAGAAATCCGCGCGGAGCGCCAAAAGCTGATGCCGATGCCGTTGTTTCTTCTTCCAGTCTCGTGGGGGAAGACCGGCCCCCGGGGGGGGAGGGCCCGCGTGCAGGACCCGCTTCTTTCGGGACCCGTCAGAAGGAGGAGGAGGAGGAAGAGGAGGAGGAGGAGGAGGAGGAGGAGAAGGAGGAGGAAGAGGAGGAGGAGGAGGAGGAGGAGGGGAGGAGGAGGAGGAGGAGGAGGAGGAGGTTGAGGAGGAGGAGAGGGGGTGGGGGGTTGAGGGGGCTGGAAGCCTTCCGAGCCTTCTGGCGTCCCAGAGGATCGGACACCGTCAGGGATGGAGGTCCAGCCTCCAGGCGGAAGGCTTCTCGACCCCCATTATCCATTATTCTAGGCCTCCCAGCTGGGGTCCGAGTAGATGGGGTCGAAGAACCGGTCGGCATCGGCGAGGCATCGACGATGCGGATCGATGTGGAGCCAGAGTTTCCCCACGCCGATGGCGTTGATGCATCGGCGATGCGGCGCGATCCTCCGACCCCATCTGGGAGGCTGCTCTCGGAAAAAACGGCATCAGCATAGACTTTCGGCGCTCGGTGCGGATTTCTTGGATTTGCCCTGGGCCCCCCTGGCGGCGCCTCTGGCGCCGCCCCCCGCGCGCCAAGGAGGGCGGTCCAGCTCGGATCCAAGAAATCCGCGCCGCGGACCGTCAGAAGTCTATATGTTGATGCCGTTTTTTGCTCGTCTGTGTTCGCTTCCGGATGGAAATAGTTTAGTTTCTGGGTTCATGCCACATGACAAGGGCGTGGCGTAGAGCGTGAGGTTCGGTGACTCAACAAACAGTCGACCAACAAGCAACAAGCAGTGGCGTCAGAGTGGCTCTTAGACGTGTGCGAACAGTGTTGGGCAAACCTTCGGCAACCTTGGACAATCGGATAATCAGATGGAGAAAGGGTGCCGATACCGCTGCCCTTTCCTCGGTTTCGCCTTTGTGGGCCTCCCAGGAGGCCCTCGTCGCTACGGCTGGATTTGTTTCAAATCCTGGCCGGAACGCACCTCGGGAAAGGCAGACAAAATTGCGTGGCGCTGGACAAGTCTTGGACCGCTTTAGCTTGTGGTAGACCTTGGCAAGATGCATGCCGTACCCGTCACAGGCGCACCCCGCGCTGCAGCGGTTCGCGGAGCTAGCGCCGGCCGTAGCGAAGGCCGAAAGCCCGCCCTGGCTGTGGGAGGCGCCGATGTTGGACTACCTCGAGGATTACCAGTGGGAGAATGACCCCATCGTGCCCTACCAGTTCCGAGGGCCGAGGGAGATGAAGAAGTGGAGGCAGATATCGACGCACGAGCACGCCGTGGCGATCGGAAAATATTGGGATGAACCGCGGGCGCTTCGAGCAGAAAACGCGTGGAGGAAGATGATGCCGCCCAGCCAGAAGCAGGTGAGCGACGGAAGAAAACGGGGTCGATTGCGCCGACATTCGCGCGCAAGTTGCCCGCGTAAGTTCGCGCGTGAGCGCCCTCGCTTCCAGCGCAGCGTGCCGTGCTGGAGGGCCGCGTACGTTGCGGCGTAAGGTCGCTACGCTACGGTAGGTTCGTGTCGTGTCGACCCGCGGCGACCCCGCCGCCGCCGACCCAGAATCGGCCCAGTATAGGACGATCTGGCAATCAGAAGGCAGCCGATCGTTCAAGTTTGAACGATCCACGCGGTGTCAAAGCTCAATGCCGAAGTCGGCACGACACGATACTATCGTATGTCATGTCGCGTATGACCCGCTTCTCATCGTCGCTCAGGCGTGGCAGGACTCCGTGGCGGCGCGCGATAAGAGGTTCCGGGCGCAGATTCGGCGGCAGAGGTTGCTGAAGATCCGGGCGGCCAAGGCGACGAAGGAAAGGTACTGACGGGGGCGGCGAGGCGCGGGCAGCAGGGCGAGTGGAGGAAAATGAGGAGGAGGAGGAGGAGGAGGAGGAGGAGGAGGGAAGATCGGCTTCGCGTAAGAGTGACCCATCGCTGGAGTGACCTTTCGGTGCGAGTCCACAGGGCTGCCCCCAGCACTGACCTGCGCGCTTGGATTTGGCCTGCCCGCGGTCCCCGAAAGCCCTGCACCAAGAGTCACTCTTGCCTAGGGTCACTTCTTGCGTGTAGTCAAGAGGAGGATGGAGGAGGAGGAGGAGGAGGAGGAGGAG